CTCGCCCGGCTAGTTTTTTGTATTTTTAGTAGAGACGGGGTTTCACCGTGTTAGCCAGGATGGTCTCGATTTCCTGACCTCGTGATCCCCCGCCTCCGCCTCCCAAAGTGCTGGGATTACAGGCTTGAGCCACCGCGCCCGGCCGAAACTTAAGTTCTATGAAAGAATGACTTTCAGTATCCCTCATAATTTGGTCATAACCCTCCCTTCCAGACCCAACTAGTCTTTATCTTCTTCCTATAAAAAAACATTTCCTAAACCTGTAAAGAGGTTAACGTACTATCACATTTCCTTGTTTTTGTACAGCTCTTCTTTCTGCATTGAATCCTTTTTTTTTGTTTGTTTAAATCTCCCTGAATTATACTCATCCTTTGAGTCCATTTCAGGCTCATTAAGCAAATTAATGTCACGACTTCTGTGTTCCTATGGTATTTTACTTATGTAATATTAATAAAAGTATTTTACACTTATTGAAATAGGAAATATCTTATTGTTTATTACCTAACTTAGATTCTGGTACATCATAAATATTCAGTGTTTTTCCCTTGTACTTGAATAGAATATTATTTTTCTTTCTTGGGAGGCCGAAGCAGATATGTTGCTTGAGGTATTATGGTAGTTGCATAAGGAGAAGAAAGAGAAAAGGGCAGAAAGCATATGTGAAGGAATAATGGCTAAAAAACTTCTCAGATTTTAGGAGTCAGACATATGAACTGAAGCTCAACAAGCTCCCATGGGATAAATTCAGACACACACACACAGACACATTTTAATCCAACTATTGAAAGTCAAAAATAATCTCGGAAAAAGCAAGAGAAAATTGTAATGTACAATGAGCCTCTATAAGTTATCACCAGGTTTCTTAGTAGAATCCATGCATGCTGGAAGGCAGTGGGATAATATATTTAAAGTGCATGAAGTAAAAAGCAAAACAAAACAAAAAGAAACTGTCAACCAATAATACTACCTCCAGCAAAACTGTCCTTTAAAAATGGAGAAGAAATTAAGAATTTTCCAGATAAACAAGAGCTGAGAGCATTTATTACTACTAGATCTAACCTATGAGAAATGCAAAAAGGAGTCCTTGAACTCAAAAGGAGGGATTCTAAACAGTAAATCAAAGCCATATGAAAATAAGGTCTGCAATAGACATATTACAAATATA